TTGACATGTGCGCTCTCCGCACCGCTACAATTGACCCGGATGGACGCCACACACACTCATAACTAATAAGTAATAATCATTTACTACTTACACATAGATCTCGGGTGGTGACGACGAGATTAAAAATTGCCTAAATGATTCTCCTTAAATCAATGCCATTGCGAGGCCCCTTATGTGTAATTAATGGTAATCGGAAAAAAAGTCCCACACTAGGAAAATAAAGTCCCGAAAAAAAAAAAAAATCATTATTCTCGTAGGTACTTGTACAGTTCTATAGTAAGTCGTGCTTTATATTTTACTGCGTGTAACTGTGTAAGGGTAATGAATAAAACGCTTGTACACATATTTTTCATCTACCATAATAAGTAATAAATAATAGAAAAAAAAAGTTTACTGGAAAATTCACCAAAATACTTATTCTTATACTGCAGTTGTACAGTTGTACTTATTTTAGTGTGTAATGTATATAGGTAGGTATAAAATATATTTGTTATCTACCATAATAACTATCACAAGCCATATAATTTGATACTATATCAATAGGTACACTAGAAAATTTCCCATTTCCGAACATCACACACAGTCATAATAATATAGGCAATGAGACGGTTTTTCGTCTAGGTAAGAAAAATTGTTTTCAAGTTTTTTTCCATAACATTTTAATTCGAGCTTGATCCGTGTCTGTTGACGTTCACGACAAAAAGAACGATATGTGTGAGCAATAATGTCGTATTGTAGGTCACCTAAATACTTCGCGCTCCACTCACGCACCGACCGACCTGTGAGGTGTATAAATAATGTGTGATTAGCGACTCGAGGGTAGTGGACGGGATTGCCGAGCAAAGGCCCTGAGTGCTAGTGTGCAGTGAGTGTGTAGGTGTGTATGTGTGTTTTTGTGTACTTAAAACTAACAACAGAAAGACTATTTGGAAAAAATGGTAACTAAAACTTAACGAGATATAAATTGCTGTATTACGGTAAAAATAATAGATATATATAATAATAATATAGTAGGTATACCCCTCTGGTACGACAAATGCCTGTATAAATTTAGCAATTTTGGCTCAACAAATGTTGTAGTATAACAGTAAGTAATAAAAACTCAAAGTTTAGTGGAGAGAAGACTGGCCAGCCGTTCCTTTCCAATATAATCCTTGACAATTAATAATATTTTTGGGCGATTCGCGCCATCACAATAATAAATAATAATATAAAAAATTACAACCACCACTGGCGATTCGCGCAGTACAATAACGTACAATATGTAGCGATTCGCGCCCAAGATATATTATACTTTTGGCGAATATTTTTGAAATTTTTTTTGTGTCTGTCATCACGTTTTAGGACAGTAAAAGTGCTTGGATTTTCTTCATCAGTATCTTTTCTGATAGGAAAGTGAATCTATTTGGTACTTTGGGGGGTCAAACGTATAAATTTCCCAGTAGTTTTCACAAGCGCCGTGAAAAACAACATCAAAATTAAGAAAAAACGGGAATTTTTACGCAAAATCGGTTTTCCAAAAAATCGATTTTGGTTTTTGGTGTAACATTAAAACAAATGACCGTAGATAAGTGAAATTTTCACTGGTTGTTTATATTTGCATTTTCTATACACGATAACATTTTCAAAATATTTTGATTTATTTTGAACTGTTTAGGGACATATTCATTTTCCATTTTTTTTTAGTTTTTTTTCTAAAAATATCAATAAAATTTTATTTGTTGGTTAAAAAAGCTTGTAACTTTGCAAATTCAACACAAAGGTCCTCATAAATAGTTCATACTGTAACCAAAAAATCTAAAAAATATACTATGAACACGTTTATTTTTTACAGAAATTTTAAATTCAAATTTGGACGAAATTACATATTAAAATCAGTATTATCGAGCTTGGTTTTTTGTTGTAATTTAAAAATATTATTCGGGGATATATGAAACTGAAAAATCAAAATATTATGGTCTATCGTTACAATCTACCATAGTATAAGGAATAAGAAGTATGATCAATGATAAGACTGACGTGCATATTTTAAGGGGCAATGAATAATTTATTCATAAATTCCATATAATTTAATACCATAGATAAGTATATAATATGTCTTATACCTAGACTGCAGACATACCGTCTCCGCTTAGAATCATTTTTCTTATACAATGATATTATATCATTGAATTCAAATTTAATACCATCCATTATACAGTGACCCACTTGTAACCTACAGTACAGCAGAGCGACATCCACTTACCCACCTTTTTTATTTTATTTTTGTGTCTGTCATCACGGTTTGGGGCTTCGATTTTCTTCAACATTATCTTGTTCGATGGGAAAGTGAATCTAGTTGGTGCATTCGGGAGGGAAAATTTTAAAATTTCCAATAGTTTTCACAAGCGCCGGGAAAAACAACATAAAAATTAAGGAAAAACGGGAATTTTTAGCAAAATCGGTTTTTGACAAAATCGATTTTGGCTTTTGGTGTAACTTTAAAACAAATGATCGTAAATACATGAAATTTTCACTGAATGTTTATATTAGCCTTTACTATACACGAAAAATGTTCAAACAATTTTGATTTGTTTTGAGCTGTTTACGGATATACTCAGTTTCGAACTTTTTTTAGGTTTTTTTTCTATGAATGTCAATAAAACTTTATTTGTAGTTTAAAACTTTAAAGAAGCTTGAAAATTTAATACAAAGCTCATATTATGTTGTTACAATGACGTTTGAAAAATATTAAAAATCCTTGGTCACAGTTATTTTTTATAAGGATTTAAAGTTCAAATATTGACAAAATACGGAAAAACCACGAAATCTTGCAAACTATTTTTAGTAAGAAATTCATAAATAATTTTATTTTTAAATTTAAAGCTTGAAAATGTAACTAAAGATTTTTCATTAGTTTGTCTACCTCTATCACAAAAAAAATTGTGCAAATTTCACTGAATGTTTATTTTATCAATTCTTATACTTGATAAAATTTTCAAAATATTTTGACGCTTTTTGAGCTGTTTACGGGCATTGTCAGTTTTCAATTTTTTTTTTTTTTTTTTCTATGAATATCAATAAAGTTTTATATCTGTTGGGCCAAAACGTGTAAAAATTTAATATACGACTCCTGATATATTGTTACAATAGCAGTTAAAAAATATTAAAAATACAATTGTAAAGGAAACCATTTTTTTTTATAAGCATTTCAAGATCAAATTTTGACGAAATTACATATTAAAAAACCTAGAATAACTATATTCTATAACTATTTTAGTTATTTTGTTCTGATTATATAATATTATTTGAGGGTACTTGAAACTTCTAAAGTGTACTATTATATTATATTTTTGATAGTACCCCAGTTTGTTGTTGATGTATAACGCGTTATAAGTACCTAATAGATATTGTGATATGATTAATTTGGAATTTTTTATAGGTCAATTTTTTTTTTAATACCATAGATATGTATGTAATATGGCTTAAACCTAGACTGACATACCTTCTCCGCTCAGAATCGTTTTTCTTATACAATGATATTATATCACTGAATTCAAATTTAATGCCATCCATTATACAGTGACCCACTTATAACCTACTGTACAGCAGAGCACCTTTTTTTTTTAATATCATATTTATTAAAATATAATATTCCAATATTATGGGCAATACCTTAAAAATATTATTCTCCATGTTTTTTGTAATACGCAGTAGTCGATTTTACACTTATGCATTTTATCCATGCTACGGGTGGGTGTGGGAGAGAATTCAAATATTGGGTTAACATTTTCTTAAAAAATAAAAGTCCATGTACAATCATACGTCTAAATTAACAACTTAAAAATTTAAAAGAAGAGAAGGCAGCACATATGTTTAAAACTCAAGTGGAGCGATGAATGTATTGGTTTTAACATTTTTACAGTAATGTGTGTTTTGAATTTCTGTGTATGTACCTACGCGTTCACGATTTATTGTAGAAAAACTGCTTTGATTTTCCAATTCAATTTAATTTCTGGCAGGAAAGCGAATGTGGTTGGTACTTGTGGTAGGTTAAAATTAAAAATTCTTAGTACCTACTTTTTTAAACAATCGGGGGAGAACGAATTTAGTACTAATTTATACGTACAACTCGATGAAATTGATTTCCTTATTTTGAAGTAATTTAAACACCAACAACCGTAAAAACTTTAACTTTTCACCAAATGTTTATACATATTAGAATTTTCTATACATGTCATAATTTAAAAAATATTTTGACTCTTTTTGATCTATTAATATACATTTGACATTTTCATATTTCTATCAATTAGAAATAGTTCAAAAAGCTTGAAAATTGAAAACAAGGTTTTTCATAAGTTGTTATTATACATATTTAAAAATATTAAAGATATAATATAGGTATGTGATAGGCACTTATATTTTTTTGAGCATTTGAAGTTTAAAATTCATTGGCATCACGATAATTGGCAAATTATTCTGTACCTAGTTAAAAATTAAAAAGTGTACATAAAATGTTCAATTTGTATAGCGAGGATTTTTCTTTGAGGGGGGTTGATAATAATAATTTTTCCATAAGTTAAGCATATTATTGATACCGTTTTATTTTAGGTTTCGGTTTCTGTACAGCCCGTACAGCTATTATATTGTATTACATGCCAGTGCACCGTTTATGTTGAACTTACTCTGTGTCGTTACTTTTAATATTAAAGTGAATTCACCTATTACCAAACTATTTATAAAAAAATAGAAAATTTAAAGTGAATGTGTTCCTCTATCAGTGACGTATTTAGGGGGGGGCTAGAGGGGGCGATCGCCCCGGGCGGCATTTTTATAGGGGCGGCATCAGATTTTTACATAACCCATCTTCTGTTAATGAAAATGAAAAATAATATAAATTAGTTTTTTTTATCAATAATATAATAATTAAAAAATATTAATTTTTATCAATAATATGGCAACACCGTTTATACAGTTATCGCTTATTAGTGACTTATCAAAGTATAGAAAACATTAAAACAATGAATTTTGAATTTTTATACGACATATACCCGTACGTAAATATTGCTCTAAGAATGTATCAATGTTGTCCTGTGTCTAACTGCTCTTCAGAGCGATCGTTTAGTGCACTAAAACGAATTAAAAGTTATTTTCGATTGAGGATGACTGATGAACGACTAAACAGTATCGCCATATTAAACATCGAATCAGATATTACAAAAGGTTTAGACTATGATGATCAGTGGCGTCCGCAGGATTTTTTAATAGGGGGGGCTTGAAAATTAGTCACAATTTAATTTTTATTTTGACCAGTCTAATAACGTTATTTGGGGTATTTTAAAATGTTTGTAACTTTTCAACTCATCTGGTAGAAAAAATGCTCTGATCATAAGCTTCGATGCCCAGTGTATGTTTTTGTTAGCAAATTGGATCTAGTTAGTACTTTTAGGAGGTAGAAATTGAAAATTCTTGGCGCTTTTATAAATAATTGGAGAAAAAAAATTGAAAATTTATTTAAATTGTTTGGTAACAAGCTTTGGTTATACCGTCTTAAATTGGATTGTATTTGATTAATTAAAATTTTTCTTCTATGAATGTCAATAAAAAATTAATTATCCGGTCAAAAAGCTTAAAAATGTAATACGTAAGTTTTTTTATTACAGCTAAAATATTAACAATACATAGGCATCATGGTTTTTTTTTATAAGCATTTATTATTAAGTTCAAATTTCGTCAAAACCACGGTTAATTTGTAGTTCAAAACTCATAAAATATAAAATATGTATATCTAAGGCTAGACAATTTAATACAAGGGCTTTCATACATATTATAGTTCATACTTTTACAGAAAAATTACAGATAATTTATGAAAATTGATATGCAAATACAATGTTTTTTCAAAAATGAATTCATTCTGGTAAGACATATAATATGAGATTTACTATAGTTGACAGTTTAAACTTGATTAATATTTTTTTGAAAAAGTAATAATTATACAGGTAATGGGGGGGGGGGCTTCATCCCATTAGCCTCCTCCCTGCGGACGCCACTGATGATGATATAATCAATGAGTTTAGTTCCTTGAAAGCTCGAAAAATGAATATGTAAATTTTAAATATTTATTGTTTTGTAATTATAGTTGATAATAACTAAACCTATTTTATATTAAATATTTAAATGTGATTAATTTAAAAAAATAACATAATGTTTAAAGTTTGAAATCTACTTTTTTTTTTTTTACTAACTTTTGTTCTAAAAAGGATACGATAACGGGTTGTCACCGGAAAGTAAGCTCCAACGCTCTCGGTAGTTTGAAAAAGTCAAATAATTTTTTCTGTGGAGGGGTGGGGGGCGGAAAAACATTGGCACCCGGGCGCCAAATTTCTGAATACGTCTCTGTCCTCTATTTAAAATACACGTAGCCAGGTATCTAATGTTCTATAAGTTTATATAGGTATTTACAATTTTCATTTTGAACACTGGATATCTATTCTCCCTCCTGATGGCCAAAAGGAGGGATATAATTTTATGAGAGCCCCGGGGTGTACAATCTCTAAATACGGTCCTGCCTATGTCCATAGGTTGGGTTTTTTACGATATTATAATTTTTATACAATTTATTTAAGCATTTTTAAATTGTAATAATATTTACCCACTCATAATTTACATAAACATTTTAATATACAACGTAGGGACAGAGGTAATGTTCTTAACTTAAGGTTTGATAATTGGTGAATTTTCTCTAATATTAAATGTAGGTATATTAACACCAGGTTGATTCTGCTAAACGTAAAGTTATTAGTCACGAGTGGGTCAGAGAGAGATAACAAAAAGTGCGTAGACATCCTCTTAAGGTTAAGACTTTAAGAGCACGCCGTACCCTCATAATAATATGTTGTCTCCGTTTTACTTACACACAAAATACTAAAATTTAAGTCCAGCAGTTTCAATTTTGTATTGTTAGCTTGAATATAAAAGTGAATTGTCCTATTATCAAATTTAAATATAAGAAAATTATCTGACAGTCGACAGAGTGCATACTCTCTTTGGTCGTTTTCAATAATTTAATTTTTAAGTTAATTTAAGCATTTTCAAATATTAATATCATACATAGGTATTAGGTTGGTACTCATAAAGTCATAACTCACTTAAAAATTAAAACATCGTAAATAACCCACGAAAAACACAGATAATCTTCTTAAACGTTTAAGTTTTATAATAGGTCATACCCGCAATTCCCTCTAATATTTAAGCTAAAAACACAAAATTGTAACTGCTGGACGTACATTTTGATATAATATAACCTTTTAATTGGTGATAATAAAATATAAATATAAGCGTTTCAACTTTCATTGCACACTCGACATTTATGGGTTTTTTTTAAAAATATTATTACGGCTCAATAATTTTGACAAATTTAATAAAATAGAATGTTTACATTGTAGTTGCACAGTTACCTAGTCACAGTTGCTTGTGTTTTATTTTACTAAAATAATAATTTTATTAAAATAACCTTTTTATTTTTTTTACATTTATAGTTGATTAATTTTGTAGAAGAAGTAGCTATGAGTCTTACGAGTTTATCTGATCATGAAGATTTTACAAAAAAGGTTAGTAACTGTACCTTATTATTTATTCATTTTTTGACGCCACACGGAATTCGATGGGGTATACTTTTCGTAACAAATAGTATTGGAATGTTAGTGAAATTACAGTGTATAAAGGTGGGTTTCCACTACATACACGTACGTGTAAGTGCATAAAAATACTTTTCTGTGATTGGTTGGTATACGTGGTAATCTTTTGGTATACCAGAGTGTTATACGTTCTTACCACAGGCTTGACCACGATACCATGAAGTTGGATCAAGTTCAACTTCTCACGTGTACATGGCTCTATATTGATAACATAAGAATATATGAGGTAACTAGCATAGGCGGTACTAGACCCTCTTGGCAGGGGGGGCATAAAATATTTAAACTATCTAACTATATGTTGGGAACGGGGGGGGGGGTCGTTAATGGGTGACTTCCCCTTCACCCCAATAAAACCCCTTCCAATTTACTCATTGAATAATTTTGTAAATAAAAAGGTGGGTAAGTGGATGTCGCTCTGCTGTACTGTAGGTTACAAGTGGGTCACTGTATAATGGATGGTATTAAATTTGAATGCAATGATATAATATCATTGTATTAGAAAAACGATTCTGAGTGGAGACGGTATGTCAGTCTAGGTATAAGACATATTGTATACTTTTCTATGGTATTAAAATATTAAATTATATGGAATTTATGAATAAATTCCTTAAAATATGCACAGTCTTATCATGAGCATAATTGTTATTCCTTATACTATGGTAGATTGTATGGGTAGGCCATAATATTTTGATTTTTCAGTTTCATATATCCCCGAATAATATTTTTAAATTACAACAAAAACAAAGATCGTTAATATTGATTTTAATATGTAGTTTCGTCCAAATTTGAATTTAAAATGTCTGTAAAAAATAACTGTGTTCATATATTTTTTAGATTTTTTGGTTACAGTATGAACTATTTATGAGAACCTTTGTTTTAAATTTGCAATCTTTAGCTATAAAAACTGAACATTTTATAATTTATTAATTACAATGATTGATAATTTTCGAGATTTTGTCAAAATTCGATGTTTAAATGCTTATAAAAAAAATTGTGCCTATTTTAATATTTTTCAATTGCTACTGTAACAATATATCAGGAACCCTGTATTAAATTTTTACACTTTTTGGAGCAACAGATACAACTTTATTGATATTTATAGAAAAAAAAACTAAAAAAATTTAACAAATTTAACAATTCGAATCTTTTCTTATCTATCGCAATGTTGTAACGTTTTGACGCACATCACCTTATCAGGATTCGTTGATAATAAAATCACAGAATAGATTAAATAATAGAATATTTTTTAAGTGTGTGTTATCATTCACAGATATTTTGGAACAAATTTCGTATTGAAAAAAAAAAAATTATATATTTTTAGAGTTAGGAAACCGAGATTTAAGGAATTATGTATTAATACAGGTATACGGTTCGCAGGAGGGGCAGTTGCCTACTCTGCCACCCCCGTAGTACCGCCTATGGTAACTAGTATGTTACCAATCCTAAACGACCTAAACCATATTAACCGATATGGAAAACGTTTGTGAGGCCGTTCATTGCGAACGTATCCGGTCAATATATGCACGTAAACGTACACGTATGTAGTGGAAACCCACCTTAAGACGAAATAAAAGCATGAGATCTTATAATTTTGTACGTGTGGTTGGAAATTGTATAGGATAAAAAAATACAAAACAATGACTTAAATATTTCCCAGTTATAGAGTGGCTATGTGACGTATAAAGTGATAAACCAATTCAGTAGTATTATAATACAAATTTAAAATTCTAAAATTTTAGGTCATACAACCGATATCAAGATTCAGAGCTTTTGTTTGTACGGCGATTGCTAACCTGACTTGGCTGCAAGATGATGCTTATGTACTCGCTCCTTTAGATTTGTTTGAATCAATACGCAAGGAAAATCTTCTTACATCTTATAAATTACCTCACATATCTGTTTTTGTGAGTATTTAACACTTTTCAATATACCTAATTATAATATAATACCGTGATAACCTTTTTAATTTATTTTTAGCAAAAATTAATGTTGTTCAAACAACCTGATGAGAGAACAGAACTTGAATTACAAACAATCGAATGGATGTTCGAAATAGGATTTAAATGTTTTCAGCTTTGTCCAACTGTAAGTTGGTGATTTAATTAACTTGATTGTTTTAACATATTACTATGTTAGCGGAGGTTTGGAGAAATCAGACTACATAATTTATTGTGGCTGTACGAAAACTAATTGGCAAAATAACAACATATTTCTCAAATAAATTGGTGTTAATGGTGTAGTTGTTGAGAGGAGATAACTTCACATACGTCTGAGATTATTTACCTATACTAGATATCTAGAACTAATACATAGTTAAAAAAAAGTTATAACTATAATCCGATTTTCTACGTAATAATAAATATAAATTGCTTATATCTCGGTATTTCTTAAATTCAATAATACGATGACACGTATCTTATTGTTACATAAAGCAAAAGCATTATGATATGTGTTAGATATTAAAAATTAAATATAAATAATTTAGGCTTATTTTGTAGGATGGTCATAATTAGAATCAATCCATATTTTTTAACTGAACATGGGGAGAAAAAATACTCGAATGTAAATAAATAAATTACATCAATCGTTTTATAAACATTAGTATTATCTATCAGAGAGACTTTTCTGGTTTTTTTAAAAAACTATTATTATAACCCATCATGATCCCAAGCAATATGAAAAATAAACTACTTGACTTAGATAAATGTTTTTACCATTAAAATTGTTCTTATAATCAGGTTTACTTTGGCTATTTCGAATTTTTCCAAGAAATTAAAATTTTTATTTTCAGTTTTAGAAATAAAAATAATTTTAGATTCTGAGCGGAGAGAGGAAGCTAGTGGTTTTATAATGGTGTTTTTTTTTATATATTTTGTACAAAATTTCTACCAGAAAGAGTGCTTCGATTTCAACATATAGTAATTTATATTTTAGCAAATTTTATCAAGATGGTACATTGAGAGGTCATTTTTCGATTTTATCAATAGTTATTTAATGCCGTGGGAAAAACCACCGAAAAATTACGAAAAACCGCTAAAAATGGGATTTTAATTTCTAACGCTATGTTTACCACCATAGAAACGAATAAATAATTATAATATTATAATATTAATTCAACTTACATGACATTATAATAAATAATAACAATATAAAATATCCAGACTGACAAACCGTCTCCGCTCAAAATCATTTTTCTTATACAATGATAATTGATATTAAATCATTGAATTCAAGTTTATTACAATCCATTATACAATGACCCACTTGTGACCTACTGTACAGCAGAGTGACATCCACTTACACACTTTTTTTTTTATATTACAATATGTACAGCGCAAAATGCTATAAATAATATATAAAAAAATTTTCATCTAGTCTTCCTGTTATAATCTGTTTACATATTAACAATAATTTTAAATATATATTTATGTACTATATTTTATAGTGAATTTTATGAGAGAAACAGTAACAGATAGGAAATAAAATTATCACAACTATCTTGACATGATTTTTCTCTCCACTAAATTATATTTATTTAAAATATTGCTAATTATTCAGACTTTAGGATAATGTGGTCCATCTCTCCAATCTTAATTGCCCAAATCAGTAATGCCATTACAATTATTTTTATTCAGTTAATTTCAGTTTATATTAAGGACTTTTTTTAACTCTGACGCTGATTTGGACTAGCCACTAGCTTAAAGCTGGAAAATCTAGATTGACAATTTCTTGTATGTTTTTTTTTTTTTTTTTAATTATATAGGTTATAAGTCTTATTATTTGTTTAATATTATTAATAACTGAATGAACATTAATATATTTAATTTTCATTAAAACACCATAACAGTTTTTTGAAAAACACAATTTAACTAAAAATACATTTTAGGCTATTTTACGCGCCCCCACTTGTTTTATAAATGATAACAAATTATAACCAAGAAAAAAAATATTTTTTTGAAATTTATTTTGCATAGGAAATTTGTAAAAAAATTACATATCTTTAAAAAGTCATATTAAATCATCGAATGGAGTTACCAAAAATCTGTTATTTATATTTTTAAGAAAAAAAAATTCTCAAAGTTTATATCGTTACAAATAATTTTTTTAAAAAACCAACGACGCCTGGGTACCTAATATTGAAACTTGAAAGTACAAACTAGTAAAAATATTACGAATTTGTTGTAGTCATGACGTGCTGCTCTCGTGATTAGAACCGTACTCATACCTCCGCCCCGCAGCGATACCATAATTTTAAAGAAATTACTGGTTAGTGGTTAGGGTTTCCATATTATCATCTAGACTAATGCCATATGTAATACACATCAATATGAAACTTTTGATTAATATTTTAGATATACCTACACTAATAATTTATTCTTAGGATATTAAAACGGCTCTAATGAGAAGGGCAACGTATAAATGTTATGGCCCTGGTAGATGGATACTGAAACAGGGACATTTATCGACGAACATGTATTTAATTGTCAAAGGACAAGTGATGATTACTGAAGATGTACAAAACCCTGTTACTAAACTTATGGAGAACACTGAACGTTGCAAATTGAAGGAAAAACATTCTTTTGGCGAAAGTGCTGTTATGTTTAACACACTTAGAACCAATTCTGTTCAATCATTAAGTAAACATTTTTTTTATGCGGATACTAAACAATTTTATTGGTTCTAAAAATTCCTCTATGTTGTAAACTTGTAACTTTGTAACTATGAACATAAAAAATGCTCAATAGAAATGTGTTGTCCATTATAATAATATGTGATAACACAAGTATGATATTCAGAAGCTGCAAATTTTAATTATTTGTAATATATTTATGAATATTATAAAGGTGCGGTGGAATTGATTAGCATTTCGAAAAATGATTTCACGGACATTATCAAAGATAATCTGCAACTTAAGTGGAATGAAAAATAAATGCAAAAGCAATTAAAAATTCTTCATATTTTAAACACCTGAGTTTGATGGAATTACATATGTGTAGTACTATTTCATCTATCAAAACATTTAAAGATCATGAATATGTTCTCGGTAACTAAAGTATACTTAATTTTTAAATATATATGATACGATAATTTAAATTAATAATAAAATCAACAGTATAGGTACCTACCTAATATTATTTTTTTGTCATAGGAAAAGGAACAGGAGATGTTGATTATGCTTACTTCGTATTAGAAGGTGAAATATCTTTAATACTGCATTTGGAAATTGAAGAGATTGTTAAAAGTTGTAGAAATGTAAGGTTCAAAGTGTACAAATTAAGAAAGACTTCGGAAAAATTGAATAAAAAAAAATATTCAAATGTATATGTCGACACTTGTACATTTTTACCGGACTCGTGTTTTAACATTGGTAACAAAATTAACTTTATGAGATAATATAATAATAATAAAATTAATGTATAGTTCACCAATGGTTTAGGGAACAAAAAAATTCTAAATATATCTAGCCCAGGTTACGTTGGTTCGACCCCTGGACTTTTATTTTTAACAAGCTATGGGTTAGGTTTGGTAACTTATATTTATACATTTATAACATTTAATAGTTTTAACCCTTACACGTAAATATGCAGTACGTATATCCCCCACGCTCTCAAATTTTTTTACTAAGGTAATAAAAAGCCGATGGGGGATCTGACCTCCACGTCATCCCCCCTTGTCTACGCCACTGCTGCACATTACATTATATAATTGTACTTTTATATTTAATCATTGGACCTATAATACATTTCAATGCATATCGTATTACTGATGTTTAAATATTAATTCTTATTGCAAGGCGAAAACGTAAAGGACAAAGAATTTATGACCACTCATATTGCCGAAACAAAATGCTTGTGCGTTCCTCTTTGGTTCATGGCCGAAACACCAAAACTTAAATGTTGGGAACTTGTAAAGTTGGATCTCAATTACATTATTCCATCTAAGGACCAAGTATTTTCAAAACTCTATCCGGGAGGTGATAAATTAAAATAACTAATTGATTTAAAAAAAAATAATATTAATAAAAAAATAATAAAAAAATAATTATGTGGAAAACAGATTTTTTGTTTTTGTTAATATGTGATGAAGACAACTATTATAATATAATAGTATGCTTTTTATTATTAATACCATGGAATTTAAATATGAATTTGTTTCATCTTTGAAATAAATACGGTTTTTCATTGTAATGCTTTTAAGAATTCTTAATATGATATTTTAGACTTTAAGCTGTATTAGAATTGTGTGATAAATATGTGTACATAGTACATGGGTTTATCTACTGAAAATGAATGAATCATAAAAGTTGTCGATTTTATGTAAATTATTATTTGGAATAATAGATCGAGTTTATATGTATGCATGAATGCTGTTTAATTAAATATATATCTATGTACGTATGTATGTATGAATACTGTTTAATTATATAAGAATAAGACGTAAGGTTATGGTTATATACTAGTATGTGTGTATGTAAATATGTGTATGCCTATATTATGTAGGCGACTAATTGATGTGTATATATGAATGTTTATATGCTTATATATATATATATATACAGTGTGTAAACGGTAATCGAGAACACTCAATATCTTTACGTAGAGACCTGCTATTTGAATTCCGTTTTTTTGGCAGTTGTTATGACATAAAAATACACATTTTTATGGTCTTTGAATTTTTTTTACTTAATTAGTCACGCGCATGCGCATGTCAACTTTTTTTTTTAAATGGCAACCCCCTGCTTTAACCACTAATTATTTTTTGCCTATTTTTTTAATGAATTTTGGTAGTTGAATCAACTTTCTAAGTCCAAAATTGACCAAGTTACAGCCAATCAAAAATAGAAAAAATTAGAAAAAAAAATTGCCCTCGATTTTCAGCTTTTTGATTGTAACTCTGAAAATAATTATTTTAGGATTGTTAAACATTGACATTTTTGTAACTATTTATTACGGTGATATTCATACGTTATTTTAACTTCAATTACTGAATAATTTTCTCGCGCTGAATCATGTTTTGTTCACGGCAGAGAACAGTTTGAACAATTTATTCGTTAGATTTTTTTTTTTTTTTTTAGATTTTTATTAACTAAATAAATTGGTAACTTAAATAAGAATTGAATTTGTTATTAATTAATAATTATTAATACGTTCTAATAGATCCATTAAATGTAAAGAAATAAACAACATACTAATTTACATTTTTCTGCTATAATAAGTTATATGATTTATTACACAAATTAAAGAGAAAATTATTCAGTAGGTAATTGAAGTTAAAATAACTTATGAATATCACCGTAATAAATAGTTACAAAAATGTCAATGTTTAACAATCCTAAAATAATTATTTTCAGAGTTAAAATCAAAAAGCTGAAAATCGAGCGCATTTTTTTTCTAATTTTTTCTTTTTTTTTTGATTGGCTGTAACTTGGTCAATTTTGAACTTAGAAAGTTGGTTCAACTACCAAAATTCATTAAAAAAAATAGGCAAAAAATAATTAATGGTTAAAGCAGGGGGTTGCCATTTAAAAAAAAAAAGTTGACATGCGCATGCGCGTGACTAATTAAGTAAAAAAAATTCAAAGACCATAAAAATGTGTATTTTTATGTCATAACAACTGCCAAAAAAACGGAATTCAAATAGCAGGTCTCTACGTAAAGATATTGAGTGTTCTCGATTACCGTTTACACACTGTATATATATATATATATATGTAATCCATATAATATGTTTAGGTGTTTGTAATGTCGAATATACATATCGGTATATGATTTAATGTGGGTTTGCATATCATACTATGTTTCACATGTTCATGTAACTGTAGAAATAGGTATTGGCTCGATTAAAATATTTTTTTACTTATTGTTATATATACATAATTCTCACTGCACTTGATGAATAATAGTACAATTATAACAGTAAGACATTTCTTTTTTTCTTTTTTTTGTACCTATGTGTATATAAGCTATGATTTTAGTCTAATGTAATCTCATACAATATTTCAATGTAGGTATATATGATTGATTAAAAATATAATTAAGTATCTGTAATATTATTCATGATAGGTTGGCCTAATATTATTGTGTATATATAAAGATACAAGAAGGTATGTACGTTCCCACCTGTATGCTCATTGTAGCATGAGTCTGTATGGAAAATGACTGATAACATGAAGATTTGTAAATGTTTTATTGATAAAGATGTTACTATAATGATGTAACGTTAATTATTGTGTATGTACCTATTTCGAGATTTTTGTAATAAACCGCATAAATTACCTATCTACTGAAATGAGCGATATTGTTAATAGTTCTTAATTTTCCGATATTATAACTTATACAATGATATATAGCGGAGGTGATATGCCTGTTTGTGTGTGTGTATAACTAAACTCCTGTTGTCATACCGCTGTTGCAATTTTTCGATTGCCACTTTATAATAATTTTCAGTCATAGGTAGTCCCTTAATAACGTCTAGAGCTTGACCACTCAGGGTAGACCTAAGATGCGAGAATGTTTGTGCTGCTGGACAATTGTCATCATTGTGCACTATAGCCTTAAAACACTCAAAATATGACTCCCATTCAGCTGGATGTTACCATTAAAGCTTGGTAGCGAGATCGGAGGTAGGCGTGCTCCTCTTGCATGCCCCGTTGTTGTGATGCTTGAGGAATTATTTATAGATGTATTTTGACTTTTCTCTGCACTTATAATCTGTTGCAACTCCGCCCGTATAGCAAAATAAGTGTTTTCGAATTGCTCTCTCTCTTTTTCTGCTTCCTCAAAATTATCGGGATCGATCAACTCAATTTCACACTGCACGTCGTCAAATTACCGATTCATCTGTGGTAACTCTTCCTGACGAAATTCTAATTATGCGATGGCATCGTCCCTTGGAATTTAATTTCGTAATGAAGGTTTGAACTCTTTTAAGCGCTGCTTTTACTACTCCTCCCCTTCGTTTCTTCAAATTAACCAAGACCTTTTTCTCATTCTCATCAAGTGCCATTATAAAAAATTAATTAAATATACACAAGCTACTCGTAATTATCGACAACAATGTGTAGTATATTATATTGACGTGTGTATATCAATTGGAAACGATTTAATTCAGGTGTATACCTATGACCATTAACCGATGATAATTTATTATATAACAAATATAGGTCACGAAAAACTTACATTGATCAGTATACCGTAATTAAATAATGATAATGATATTACGTAAGTTAATCGATCACGTCGAGGTCACCAAATGTGCGGGTCGGGTACGTACAATAATAGTGCGTGTCGCCCGGTCACATAAATACTTCGCGCTCCACTCACGCACCGACCGACCTGTGAGGTGTATAAATAATGTGTGATTAGCAGGGCTCGGAAGTTGTGGCAAATGCATATTTTTTTTGGTTTGTCCTAGAACACCCAAAGTAAGATACAAATATGTTTCACACTTATCTGATGTCATCACGAAATTTTATTTTGCCATTTTTTGCATATTTATGATTTTTATTGCTATTTTGCCATTTTAAGGTTTTTAGTGCTATTTTTGGGTATATTATCAGATAATTTTGAAAATAACCACATTTAGTTGAAATAATGATTTTATTTGGTTATATTTTTAAAAATATTCAAATTATTGGAAATAAAGCGAATAATATTTCATGTTTTTACCGTTCTACAATTCATCGACGGTCCGATGTATTAATAGTTCGTGACGTAAGTGTTATTCCCTTATTGTATTATTGCAATAGATTATCAATACAATTAAATACGATTACAGATATGTCTGTATAGTATATACTTTATCCTTTATAGTTTTAATTTTAGTACTCCCGATTCCTCCGTTGTCGAACGTTGTCGTCGTGAAATAAATCGTAAATCTAAGTACGTATTTTAATATTAATTAAAAATGCCTAAAGAAAAAAAAACATTA